ATTAAGTAGCAGAATATGAATAGCATGACATACTTTCAGTTTGTTGTGAGGCTTTTAGAGGTAAAGCTAATTAACAAAGAACAATTTTCCTCAGTTCATTAGACAATGTTGCTTAAAGTTCACTGTGTAGCTTTACGTAACTGTCCATAGCTCTTCTTGTACATGGGTAGTAATATCACCAAGACATTCCCACCGTGCTAGCGGTCTCTAAGGCTTGATTCAGCTATATCCATCAAGAAAATACTGATTTGCATTCTTGTATTAAAGCATGATACCCTGAACCATTTGAATAATATTCATTTGGAGCAATCAAGGAAAAACAAAATTAGCACGTAGTTACTAACTGCACTTTATGTCTAATGTTTGTTTGTGGTTATTCTTAAAGGCTATTGCATCACTCTATATATAAATACCTGTTCAACTTTAGAATTAATCTGAAAAATTTAATATCCAATCCCAATCCCCAGACAATACTTAACATCCAATTAAATAACCAAATAATTAAATATTAAATTACTAGTTAATTAAAATTTAATAGTCAATCCTAATTTATTATCCTAGAAGTCCTCTCACAGTTTCCCATTTCTACAGTTGTGATAGCAAATCTAAGTCCTACTAACCCATAGCTAGCAAAAGAAAAGCAATTAAGTCCCACCACAGAGTATGTATGGCAGTGGAAAGGAGTAAGTTCAGCATTTCTTATGGAATTTTTCCTTCAGCAAGTAAACTCCATTGCATAGCATTATAATGTCCTTCAGCTTTCGATGAGACAATATTAACTAATGTAAGACATAAATTATTTTAATTTATGGTAAAGAGATAAGCATGGAAAAACCAGACAGAACTAGCCCTGCTAGTCTTGCAAAGCTGATCCATGTGAGGTGTGCTGAGGTAACATGACTGCACCTGAGAAAAGAGCCTACACAGGCTTTTACCTTTTCATGTTATAACTGGAGCTAGACTGAACATAAGTAGTAACCAATCTACTTTAGCTGCTTAAGGAGTAATTAAATTACATCAGTTTGGGTGCTAGTGAATAACAAAGCTTCTGGTAGACTGTTACCACTCATTCTTTAGCACCATATCTCAAGACATACTGGAGAAATGAAAAGCTTTGGTGTCTTCCAAAGCCCTGTTTCTAGTTAGTATGGCTGGTATTTTTGTAGTCTGACCATAAACCCTTTCAACTTTAATTACACATCCTTACACCTTCATCATTAATCATTAGAAGATACAGCACTCTGTACTCTTCTTCTGTGCTTGTACAGCCTCCAATGGGGCTTTGAGAATGAAGACCTTTAAATGTTGCTATAGTAGAGATTTTAAAGACCAGTATCCATAAGATCTTGCATTGACAGTCTTCTGTTGTAACGGCACACAAACTTGTAGGCTCATCTTGGAAATGCAGGAGGAGAACGCTGAAAAACAATCTTATCACAGAGAACATCTTCCAAGAACATAGTGCCATGACAGTTCATGTCAGATACCAGCCCTACTCTGAATAAAATGTCCCTTTCTTGCCAAGTGTCTGTGATTGGTGATATCAAATACTTTTAGATAGTGGGAGACCAATTTTCAGGTACAAATATTTGAATAGCACGTCCAGATTTTATATGCGGACAAGTAGGCTTAAATGCCTGAATGTGGAATTTTTTAGGCATTGATCGTTATAAAATTGGCTATTGAGTTTTACTGCATGTACTGTTAAACTCGGATTTCTCCCAAAGCCTCTTATGTTTTTTTCCTGCTCACACCGTGTACAAGAGAAAAGTACTATTACTTAGTTAATGGTGGCTGAAAGGAAGAATTTATTCAAGTGTGTTCTGAAGTTACTGTTTAAAGAGCACCTGTTTGCAGAGATTACTGCTTTCTCAGAAAGGAGCTAAAGGTTGACCTATTAGCAGTTCAACCCAGTAGATAGAGGCGGCTGTAAAAAATTATGTTCAAGACTTCTTGCAGGCAGAAGAACAGGTTGAAATCTGCTGCTTTGTAGCTTAATCAGTTCTGCATATGTACAGCACTAATTTGTTTTGCAGGTACTGCAAATGGCAATTTGTTCTTGAGAGATGTATGTAATCCAGGGTGAGACAGTTGCATCTGTGGCATTAACACAGTGTTAATTTAAAAGTTATTTCTGAATGTTTTGATATTTCTGTTGACACACCGTGTGAGCGAGGGTGGGCAGATATACACAAAAAAATTCTAGTAAACATTAGTTTTTGTGAAGACTACTGTGAGTGGTGATAAAATAATCAGGTAAGAAAACCACAACTATTTATTCTTCTGTATTGTATGGTTAAAATCCTGAGAAATATATTCTAAAACTATGCAACAAATTCAGAGGTGTTTATAGTCACAATTTAAAATTTTTTATCTTTGACTTTTTGACCCAGGACTTCACTGGTTACTCCACATTTATAACTTTTAAAGAAGCTAGACAATTTTAAAAATATGTTTGGTCCTCATCTAACTTCCTCAAGTAATGAAGAATCCTAGGGAAGTGAAGCAAGTAGCTAATTATCTTACCCGCCTAAAAATAACAATAAATAAAAAAAAAACTAACATTATCTGGGTTCAACTTCTAGCCCTTGGGTTTTGAACACCTCTACTCTTGCAGAACTGAAAGTTTGGTTGCACCTTGAATGCTTGATTTTTGTGCAGGCTCCCATCAACTTGTACTCTGCCTGCTTCACCATCTTCTCTTCCAGTCTCTGCAAATTTGTGTTACTTTAAATACATTCAGAATGTTGCATTTTGATCATATGACTCTTCTTTTAGCATAATTTCCTATATAAATTTCAATTCATTTTCAAGGTCATTCATGGACTATGTCACTGTAGCTATCACCTTCTGCTTGCTCTCTTACTCTCAAGTCCTCTAGGCCAGTATCTACCTAAACCATTAAATTTTAAACCACCTTTGATCAATCTTCTTGTTACTCTTTGCGTGAGGGAGCTGCTCATTCACAAAACCCAGATTGTTGTCTTTCAAATCTCTCCTTAGAGCGTTCCTTTATTCTGGTGCTAACGGAACAAAAATTACCATTAGGCAAGTGGAGAGCTACCAAGAGTTTGATCTACTGTATTGACTAATATTCCTTCCTTATTGCCTAACATCGCTCTTCCTGCATGTATTAATCCACTACTCTTTGAGGCAAAGTGTTGTCCATACATAAAAACTAAGAGCTTTAAACAAGAAGGGTATACAACACCTATATTGTATGACGTGTTGTACAGCTGCTGTTACAAGAGCCTAATACCTACAATGAAACAAGCAATTTGGTAGTTTCAAATACAGCTTGCTTTGTACAACCTCTTATCACAAATTCCATTCTGTTGGTCTAGTCTATATATTAAATATTCAAATCCAAGAAGCAAACGTACCTGGTTTTCCTTTCAGAGCCTGTTAACGAGTATTTCTTCAGGCTACATGCAGTTGCTGATATATTAGACTCATTTTCTATTATTCACTTCTCCCTGCTGAAAATGCTACACAGGTTCACCTTGCTGCTAGGAATCACTGGTGGCCTTAAAGTTACCAGGGAATTTGAGCTGCCTGATTTTGATGGCATGAAGGACAGTAACTCTTTCACCATGGCTCACAAGGAATTTTTTGTGCCTTTTGATTTCATACGCGAATGTGTTTGTTTGAACATAGTAGTAGACAAGTGATCAGTAGAGAGTCCAGAAGCCAATTGGTGGGAAGAGCTTTAAAAATACATTTAACACAAACGTGGGACTGGCTTCTTTGACAAAATGGAGGACAAGACCAGAATGTGGCAGGAATACCCTGCCTGCAGCAGAACCCTTGCTGCTGCTTGATGGGGATTTTTTGGAGCTCAGACATCTCTTGTGATGGGAGGAACCCTGGGAGAAACCATAAGCTGAACATCACCAGTAAATTGGATGACTCAACAGCTTCTTGGCCTTGGGTACTTTCTTCATTGTTGGCCTTCTTCCTCCCACACCCTCTGGTAGGAAAGTCTTGTGGTAAAAGAGGAGCATGCATGTCTTGCTAGGTCACTGCAGAATATGATCAGCTAGCTCTTTACCATGTTCTCAGTTTAACTACTCAGTTCTCTTATATTCTTGGTTACAGTCTTTCATAAGAGCACATAGGTCTTGCATGAAGGAATAAGGGATCTGAGGTGGTGGAAGCCATTTGCTTGTAGACAGAACTACATATTCTAGCTTCATATTTCTGTAGCTACAACTACAGCTTCTCTAAAACGGGCCATCCTCCCAAAGAACCTCTAGCGCATGTTATTTTTTCCCCCTGCACCTCCCCCTGTCACGCAGGAGGGACCTGTCCCCAGCCCCCCTCGGCCGCCAA